CATGGAGATTCTTTCCATTCCCCTGCCCTACCTCCCAATCTTTCTTCTTCTAAAAGTCTGTGGAAAAGAGCTTGCAAGCTGGCATGAACTCCACTTTTACGAGTAGAATTGTTCTATGTTTGGCCTTTAACAACCCATTAAAAAAGCTTATATATTTAAATTAGCATTTATCATTTTACTATAATAATTACTTAAATATAATTCACTAATTTAAATTAAGCAAACTCTTTAATATTCAGAATACAAATTAATGACTGCGGGCAAAAAAGTATTGATTTTTGTTGATGACTTGAATTACATGAATTAAATGAAAATTCTAAACTGAAAAAAAAAAAGAACTTAACCAAATACATCTTATGTGCATATACTATTCCTGGTGTTTCTTCCTTTGACTGTTCTGGCACAATGAGATGATGCTTGTGTCCCATCTCTTTGAAAGAGTGTTTTTTTCCTTAAATCTTAGGCTATTTAGTTATTCTGCATCCAAAAGCTCTCTAATGAGTTCAAGAAATGTTATGATTTTGTAGTTTATGTTATTTTGTTATAGTTAGGGTGGAAGTGACATTCTCCCCTTCTTCACATTTCACTTCCCTCATAGATAGAAATAGAATTCCCAAATTCAAATACATTTTAAGATACATCACTACCGTGAAATTACTAAGATCAATTAAAATTCTGACAGCTGTTGTAATCTAGTTATATTTAAAACACATGGACAAAAAACTACCATTTCATTAAATAATGAAAATTATTTTATTTGCATGTCATCAGAAATAGCTTCTAAACAGTCATAAGATTTGAACTTCCTAAATCTAACATATTTAAAGTCACAATCACTGTGTGTGAGGTATAAAGGGTCTTAAGATGACTAGAAATGAAATGTAGGACACAAATGTCAAAAACCAAATCTGTGATTCTGTTTGGTCTCCACAAAAATGTATAATGTTTTTAATAAATTATTTCATTTACATCCATTATTTTTAGCACTTTGAAGCTTATTTCTTGGGCAACATATATATCCTACAAATAAGAAAACCAACGAAGACTGATTTTCAAGTGACTCTGACAACTAATCTGTTCTATCATTGAACTTTTATAAAGCATGATCTAATATTCCCCCCGCTGATTATAGTCTAGTATATATGACTTGCCAATTAATATTTATTATGATGATGTTAAAATTTTTAAGAGACAAGCTAAAGAAGGAAAATTTTCTTAAAGTGAGCCATTTTAATATGTCACTTTAGAATTTAATTGTTCCTGGATTCATAACAAATAAATTAATTTAAAACTAGCCCTCATTTTTATTAGAGAAAGTTAACTTGCATAGTAAAAGTGAACTTGCACTGTAAAAGGGGAAAAATTATTAAATGATTCATTAAAATTGCTTTAAAAAGTACTTTCAACTGGGCTTCCCCGGTGGCGCAGTGGTTGAGCGCGGGGTTGCGAAGCTGCCCGCAGCCTCTGCAGTGCCGGTTCGATCCCCGGCTGCTCCCCGGCCACCAGAGGAGGGTCCCACATGGCGCGCAGACCTCTCCTGCCGCCCGCTGCTCCCCTCAGCAGTGTACTTCGGTCCGTCTGCCTGTTCTGCATCCTGCTCTGACTCTGGTGAATTCTCTCACCCTCCCGCGCTTCTGACTGTACCCAGTGCTTGTATGAATAAATAAATAAATAAATAAATCTTAAAAAAAAAAAAAAAAAAAAGTACTTTCAACTATAAAACTGTTAGATATATTAATTAGGACACAGAAATCAGATAAAGATATCATGTGACTAAAAATATACCCAATGAAATCATTAACACACAAAATTGTTTTATTCTTAGACATTCCAGGTTCTTTTTTAAAATATTAATTTTGAAAATAATAATCAAAGGAAGATGGGGGACAGGAATTTTTAGATTTCCCAGAAGCCTACACTGGAACCTATGTCCTATCATATGCTCAGTAAATTTTTAATAGTTGATCATTGAAAGAGCTCCTACTGCTAGTAAATTAATTTGGCTTAATACACCTATAAACTACTATACATTTCAAAATGAAGTGCATGATACGTCTCCCTATAATAGCATAATTTGGGGTTCAAGTATCCCTAGAAGCATTTATCTGCCAGAATAGATATGGTTTTGATTCCCTTGTGATAAGGTGAATTTCCTTCATTATCTTCAAGGTCCTCTGTATGAGATAGGATTGCATTCCTTTAAGGTCACCCAAAGTCCTGGGAGCCCTAGAGGACTATTTTGGCATTCTGACTTTCCTATTCTTTGAAATATTTGGCAGTGTCTCAGAGTTTCACCAGAGAAAAAATAAAACCCACAAAATTTATGGGAAAAAATTATAACTGACTTACTTAATAAGGCAGTCATTTTCATTCAAGAAATATTCAGCATGAAGATGGATATCAATTACAGAGTCAAACACTTGGCTTCCATTTAAATTCTCTATTTATAGCTCACTGGATATTTATTTGTCTTAGTCAAAGCTCTCCTAACTTAGTTCTGCTCTCCAAATGTCTGTATTATATGTAAAATTGGGTGAAAAAAAATTTTACACATATTAAGTCCAACTGTTCTGTACTTTCTAAATAAAACTTCCTCTTACTAGCTAACACCTTCATTCTCTTATTCCTATGATTTTATTAGATTGCTAAATTTTAATTGGATATTATTTAATGACAATATTGTAAGTCAACAAAAATTTAACTATTGCCATCTTGTGGTCAGACATTCATATAGGTGAAACTGAAAACAATGTTACTTTCCTAGAGAGCGAGCTACCCTTAAAATCTTACCAGAGGTATTTTCCCATCAGCTGGAGAAAAAAATGATCATTTTATCATACAGCATTCCTCTCAAGAAAACAAAATTCATTTACAATTTTAAGAAATTGTGATTTTTTTTTTTAAAAACACAATATATGGCATTGAGAGCAAATGGTTACAGTGCTCAACTGGACATCACATTAGCCCTAATATCTTAAGAACTTCATAGCTATACAATATATGGACTTTTTTAAAAACAACATGAGTTTTACAGGTGATTTTCCATAGAATTCTAAAATACTAGCACTGTTGTATCATAGGAAGGTTACAAAAAGGGATTGGCAGGTCAACGTCCTGAAGAATTTAAACAAAAGAAGATGAGAAAACATATAGAAAAGTGAAAATCAAAAGCACATATATAGCACAGTCTTAATATTGTAAGCACTTCCTCATTTAGGTCTTTCCCAAAATGCCAAATGCATACTATATACAAAAATGAAGTAAAAATAACAAGCAAAGAAAAACATCTCACTATGTAAAACATTCCTAACATTTTTTCAGAAACTTTTTAAATAGAAGACATCTTAATTTCCATTGTCAAATTTCAGTTATATAAAAAGTTAAATAAGAAACAAGAAGGTAGGGCTTGGCCTCCTTGGTGGTGCAAGGGGTCAAGCACAGAACTGTGAAGCTATCAGCAGCCTCTACAGCAGGAATTTGATCCCCTGCCAGCCAGGGAGCTACCCACATGGCACAGCAGACCTCTCCTGTCTCACCTGCTACTCCCCTCAGCAGTGTATTAGTCAGTCTGCCTGTTCTGCTCCCCACTTTGTCTCTGGTGAATCCTCTCACCCCTCATACCTCTGGCCTGTACCCCAGCTCTGGTATGCATAAAAAATATTAATAAAAGAAACAAGAAGGTAAACAAAGCACAAGGCCAACAACCTTGAAGAACCAAAAGGATATCAAAAACTGTGGTGCTGACTGTGGAATTAAAGTTCAACCATACATTTTTTTTTTTTTGATAATATTAGTTTATTAAAAAAGATACAAAAATTACGTACATTATGAAAGATTTCAGAACTTCAATGATGCCATTTCAATCATGATTTCAATCTACACTTTTCAAGAATGTCACCATCTCTAAATAAGAAATAATTCTTGTTGTCTAGAACTACTTTGATGCCTCTGTATTCTGGAAGAAGAAATTTATCTATAACTTTCACACTAATTGGTTGATTCTTCCCACCTTTTCCTTTAGAACTCCATCAAAGAGTCAGTACTGTTGCTTGCAATACTTTTCCTTGAGATTTTTCTAGAAACATAATGCTTCCTTTGGTTATAGCTTCAGCTGCACTCCTTTCAACTAATACTCAGTCAAAAAGGAGAAGAAGCTTTCTAAATACCTTTCCTGCCATGATTCTGGCTGCCATCAGTTACCACACAATTCTGATAAACAACACCAAAAAATTTATTCATAGAGTACACTTAACATGAGAATCACTTGTTCTTTAGATTGTTATTGATTATCCTCACTACACAACACTAAATTGCCTTTACAAAGCACCTTAACAGCCACATCAAACGCTTTATAACTGTCATCATGTGCCTTACAACTATGTTATTTAGACCTATTTAGAAATACAAAGACCTTGACATTCAACTGTACCAGAACCAAAAGATATTATTAAAGTAAAAAAACCTCAGATTTTCAAAATCCATTAGAAATAGGGTTTATTGACAAAAATAACTAACAAATACACAAATATGATATCAGATTCTGTATCCTAATGAACTAAATGAGAGAAAATAAACAAACAAACAAAAAAACCTACACAAAAGCAAAACATATATAAAAGTCAAGAATTCACAAAATTGGGTCTCCCTCATGGTGCAAGGGGTTAAGAGGCAACTTATGAAGCTATCCACGGCCACTGCAGCACCAGTTCAACCCCTGGCCAGGAGCACTTCTAACCACATGGTGCAGCAGACCTCTCCTGACTCACCTGCTGCTCCCCTCAGCAGTGTACTTCAGTCAACAGAACTGCCTGTTCTGTTCCTCACTCCGTCTCTGGTGAATCCTCTCACCCCCCCACACCTCTGGTCTGTACCCCAGTACTTGTATGCATAAATAAATACATCTTTAAAAAAAAAAGAATTCACAAAAATGAATTCTCATCATATATTTGTTCAATATCAGGTCACGTATCAAACTAGTATTACAAGGAAACTTATCTTACCTTGTGACTGTGTCAGTGAAATATCAGATTTACTTCTTACACGTATTAGATGACTTTGTACAGGCTTGTGTTCTACTTGTTTAACATCTTGATCTTGCTTTTGTTGGTACTAAAGAATTTAAGCATGACATCATAATATTTTTTATTACTTTAAAAATGTGAGAAGTTCAATTATTTAGGTGCTTATTTTATATAAAATTCAATATAATGCATGCCTTCTAATTACCTTTTTATCATTTAGTTATTTATGAGCACTCCTAACAGTAAATGGGCAATGAAGTATGTATTATTAAGGAAAAACATATTGCAAATAAAATATTTTAAAAGATTTAGATACTACACACAGATTTCAAATATTCAAATAATTTCTATTTTTACTAAAGAATTCAGTACTACTTATAAATCAAATACATGATGGATTGAGACAGGATAAAGACTTAATTTGTCTGTAAGGTTTCCCATATAACCATTTTTGCATAAAATAAAAATTTGCATAATGCACTGCAATTTTCTAAGGGCTTTTATATATAGTAACATCATTCAATTCTCATAAGTGTGAATAGGTATTGTAAACCTTGCTTTTGTCATTCAAGAAACATATACTCTACTATAAGCCTCATCAACTGTCTCCCTTTTCTATAACATAACCAAATTTGAAACTTACAGAAGTCACAAATTCCTTCAAATTCACACATCACAAACTGGGATAACTTTAGCCATTTTCTCTTTCCTTTTCATTTTTTTTCTCATTTTTATTTTATTATTTTTTAAATTTTATTTTATATAATTCTTACATCATTTTTCATTTTTGCACAATGTATGCATTTTCATTTTGGTTATATTCCCTGTACAATACCCACCCCCCTTATTTTGCCCCTAATCCCTTCTCTTCCCCCCACTCCCCATTAGTGTGTCTCTGGTTTATGGTTGCTAGTTGATTTTGATTTTTTCTTTATTATAATATGTGCTATTATTATTAGCCATACTTCTGTTACCTAAAAAAAATATAACAAAATTGTTGCGGCCCATTCTTTGGGCAATCTTTTCTTCATTTCTTAAACAGTTTTAAAAGGTACAATTGATAAACAATAATTTATACATAGTTAATATGTACAATATGCTTTTGACATATGTAAGTCCTCATGAAACCATTACCGCAATTAAGAAAACATAATGTTGTTTTCTCATACTCTTTCGCATTTCCTCCTGTTACTAGTTTGCATTTCTCGAATTTCATATAATCATAGATTATGCACTTTCTAAAAAAATCTGGTTTCTTTTCCTCAACATATTTGTGAGAATCATCCAAGTTACTTCATGAATCAGAAATCCATGGATTTTTTTTTTTTATTGTTCAATAGTATTCCCTTATATAACTATACCACAATTTGCACATTTGATGGACATTTGTGTTGTTTCCAGTTTGGGGCCACTACTAAAAAGCTACCATGTATATTCATGTACAAGTGTTTGTATAGACCAATGTTTTGGTTTCTCTTGGGTAAATACTTAGGAGTGAAATTCCTGGGTCATATGGTAATGTATGTTTTACTTTTTAAATAAATTGCCAGACTGTTTTCCAAAGTGGTTAAATCATTTTACATTCCCAACCAGCAGCACTTGAGACTTCAGTGGCTCCACATCCTTGCCAACACTTGGCTGTCTTTTTAATTTTAGATATGCTAACGGGTGTGTAGTGATTTTAATTTGCATTTTCCTAAGGACTAACAACGCTGAAAATCTCTATTTGCTTACTTGTCACAGGGTATCTTCCTTGGGTAAGGTATCAGTTCAAAATCTATTTTTTAATTGGATTGTTTTCTTAATATTGAAGTTTGTGACTTCTTTATATTTTATTGAACCAAGACTTCTATCAGATATGTAATTTGCAACCTTTTCTCCCAGTCTTCACTTGTCTTTTCATTTTTTTAACAGTGTGTCTTAACAGCAGTTTTTGTTTTTGGTAAGACCAATTCATTAACTTTTTCTTTTATGAATAGTGCTTTGGATATCATAGCTAAGAAATTTTTGCCTGACAAGGGCCACAAATAAATTTCCTTTTATACATACATTATTAAAAGATATTCTTCGCTAACTAGTTTTTCCTGATCTATGCTGGGTCATACTTACTGGGTAAACTTGGACCCTGCATACTGGTATGTATCATAAACAATCTTTATTTTATATACTTTTGCTCTCATTGTCAACAGTATGCAATAACTGCACAACACTTTGCAATATTTATTGAATAAATTCACATTAAAAATGCACTGCTGTTACATGATACAAAACTAATAACCTGAGCATTGTTTAGATTACATCTTAGAGAGCAATCACCCTATTTTTGTAATACCCACTATGTGCAAATTACTGAGTTAGATATTGCATGGGGATAGAGAGGTATGACAATAGCTACCAAGCTAGATAATAGGCATTTCATAGAAATTTTTTTCATCTTTAAGAATGAAGAAATCAAGCCTTAGAAAAAGACTAAGTAATATGTTCAAGGTCACAGCTAAAAGCTGGAGAAGATAAGATTTGTATCCAGGCCTGAATTACTAAGAGAAAGAGGCATGAGTTGAGACTGTCTGATTCCAAAGACTATATTCTTGATAGCTTACCATACACTAAGGCAATATTGTTACTACTCTCATTTTAAATAAAGTGCTATTAACTTAGTACCTGAGGAAAACCTTCAGCAGCTACTGATTTCTTATCATTTTCTTGTGCCACTGGAAATGTTGTAGGGAGGGCAGAGTTAGCATTCGGCTGCAACTCCAATTCTCCCAAACTCATTGGACCATGACTAGTACATGAATCTTCATAACCACCACCTGTTAGCAAATATGTAAACAGCAAGTTAAAATAAATTGCTTATTTATCTTAGAAAGTAAATAATTGCCTAAAACTATCAATATTTCTCACCTGCTAAATTACAAGCAGCAGTATATTTTAGTCAGTAACACCTGGTACCAAGTGTTCATTGCAATTAAAACCAAAAACCCTGTTTTTTCTAATTAATGGCTACCTTTTAAATATAGCACAACATAGTATCTCTTACCTTAATCAGCACAGACATGAAGCATTAAATATAAATCAAATTTTCCTAACTGAACTAATAGTTTAAAGATTCCATAGACCTTCCCATTTAAGAAGAGTCTACTGCTGACAATTAGGTATGGTAAATAATAACTCTTTTGTCTTTCATGTTAATTTATATTTTTAAGTGGATTTTGCATAAACCAAAATAGTTTTAACTTTTATCTTCCTAGTATTAAATCCATACAAAATAATTTGTCAAAATTATTACCCACTTTATCCTCATTTAATTATCCAGCATCATATGATTAATTCAAATATTGACAATAATATCCATCACTTAGAGTAACAATTGCTCCAATCTGATATAAACTTCTGCTCTATAATCCCTTCCCAAACATTTTCTTATGACTGGCAAATAAATTGAGATAAAAGAATTACCATTTATAATGTTAGAGATTAAAACTCATTATGCTAATTATATAGCTATATAACTAAAAGATCCAAGATACTACTGAGGAAACAGAAATCTATTAAAGTTAATGAAAGAATTTGGTAAAAGACTAGATACTAGATAAGCATATAAAAATCATTCATGTTTCTGGGCCTCCCCGGTGGCACAGCGGTTGAGCGCTGGGTTGCGAAGCTGCCCGCGGCCTCTGCGGCGCCAGTTCGATCCCCGGCTGCTCCCCAGCCACCGGAGGAGGGTCCCACATGGCGCGCAGACCTCTCCTGCCGCCCGCTGCTCCCCTCAGCAGTGTACTTCGGTCCTTCTGCCTGCTCTGCTCCCCGCTCTGGCTCTGGTGAATTCTCTCGCCCTCCCGTGCTTCTGACTGTACCCAGTGCTTGTATAAATAAATAAAAAAATCTTTAAAAAAAAAAAAAAAACAATCATTGAATATCTAATTTATAAAAAAAAAAAAATCATTCATGTTTCTCTGTATTATAGCAGTATACACCTAAAAGTAGAAAAATAATCCTTTACTATAATGACCAATACTAAAAAATAACTAAGGATAAAATTAAGAATCCATATCAAGAAAGTTGTGAAACCTTACTGATGAACACAAAACAAGATCTGAATAAACAGTAGATATAAAAATGCCTAGTCTTTAAATATTAATAAAGAAAATCAGTATAAATAGGGAGATTTTTAATAAAAAATGATTTTAGAATTTATATTTAAGAATAACTGCTTGAGAATTAACCAAGAAGCCATCAAAACCTTTTTTCTATTTTATTTTTTAAAGGATTTTATAATTTTTGCATAGAAGAAATTGCAACAGGGTGGTCCCCAGGAAAGGGGGAGGTTCCCTGCCCCACCCAAGGGAGGGTGGAGCTGAGCAGGAAGGGGAGAAGCTGAAGAAGAGACTAAGGAAGGAGGCAGGATGGAGCCAGGAGACCTGGAGGAGGCGCATGGAGCCTAGAGACATGTAAAAAAACTGCGCTTGTCTTTTGGTCGTGGACTGGGTGACACAAATGTGGGTGAAACCTGTGGGGAGGTGACAATGGCAGCTTTTATCTTGATGTTGATTTTGCTCTTTTCCTTCCGGGCTTGTCCGGTTGTTTGTGACCCTTTTTTGTGGGTCCCCACTGGAAGATGCTTTAGACTTGTAGCAGGCTTTGGGGCCTTGTTCTGGGCCGATCCCATATGGATGGACTTTTACCCAAGAGGGGACGGGTAACTTTGGGTGCTTCATTTAGAAACTAGACTCTTTGCCTTACCTGTATTGTTTCCTAGTTTTATTAAAGATCCTTCCCATTAGTCTCATGTGTTTTGTGTTGATGCGGCGGATGGCAGAACCCATTTAGTATAGGCAGGTTTGCGGGGTTTGGGCTGCCCCTCTCCCTGTCCTATAACAGATTTGAGGTATAGGCCAGAGGTTGGGGTGGTGGGAGAGGTGGTGAGAGGATTCACCAGAGACAGAGTGGGGAGCAGAATAGGCAGATTTTACTGAAATACACAACTAAAGGGAGCAGGGGGCAAGACAGAAGAGGTCTGCTGCACCACATGTGGGTTAGCAACCTGGCCAGGGATTGAACTCAAGCCATCAAAGTAGTAGTGCTGAGACTTAACCACTATGCCACCAGGAAGGCCCAAAACCCTTTTTTTAAAAGAACAACTTGCCCTATGAGATAACACATTTTACCATAAAGACATAATAATCTACTAACTTTTAGATCATAAAGAATACAATAATCCCAAAAGAGATTTTCCCACCTCTCTAAGAATTTAATATATATATTGGTTGTTATAACAATTTAGTAGAGAAAAGAAAGCTACATAAAAATTGAGGCTGGCACCTCTGACTATTTATCTGGAAGAAAATCAAATTGGATTTCTACTTTATACCATTTGCAAAAAAAAATTCCAGGTAGGTTTGAATATAGATATATTAAACAATGAACTTGACCAAAAAATCTCCTTGGTAAGGAGAACCCTAACCACACCATAAAAACAGAGCAAATAAAAAAGATAAAAATAATTACATAAAATTTTTTAATTGTATAAGCAAAGGGAGTGAAAGGTCCATGCAGGAGGCCGCAATGCAGAAGCCAACCAGGAAGCCCACCTGGGGGGCAGGAATGAGGATACCTGCCTGGAGGACTCAGACAATGAGCCTCCCCCCTCCCCCCCACAAGTCTCTTCTCAAACAAAGAACCTCTACCTGCCCTACAAACTTTTCCCGCCGTATGAGCCCAACTACCCACCCGACCTCTCCTCACCCTATAAAACCCTGCTTCCCCCTAACAACGTGCGCGACTCCACTGACCCCCGCCTTGGGTCTGTGAGGTCCGCCCGGGGTGCCATAAACTTTCCCTCCCTTTGAGAAATTTAGCCTGGCTCTCCTTTCTTTACTGCGCCGAACCTTTCATCTTGGTGCCGAAACCCGGGAAGGCCGTGTCCCCTGGCGCCGGGGCCGCCTTCTCGTCCCTGGGACCTCTCCTCTCCATTGCAGACACCTCACACCCACCACCGGCCTTAATCCTTGGGGTAAGTCACTGCCTGACCCTCCTTCCTGGGAGGCCCTCGCCTCTGGCTATTCGGCTCCTCTCCTGACTCCCGTACTGTACCGTGGTTGGCTGTTCCGTAAACTGTGGGCCCACATCAGCCAACTCCCGTACACCTAGACCCTGGATCTGGGGACGCCCTTCCAGACTAGGTGCCCGAATCCTAGGTGCAACCGAGCGGTGGAGACGTCCCCCTCACTTGTCTGCCTCCGTTTCAAAGGCCAGGACCGAATCGGGGGACGCCGCGATTCGGGGCCTGCGCCCCCCACGGCCAGTTCAGGTTCGTGGGACACTGCATCCTGACTCTGTGACCCCGTTAGTTGGGAAAGGAGCCGACTTAGTCATGGGGTCGCCAAATTCCAAGCCAAATTCCGACCACTGCACTGGGATGCCTTCTCTCAAACCTCGGTCCGTTGGGACTAAGGCCACATAACGCCCTAAGCGTCTCGTCTTTTACTGCAACAAATAATGCCCTAAGCGTCTGGTCTTTCACTGCAACACTACGTGGCCTCAGTATCAATTGGACAATGGCTCCCACTGGCCCAAACATGGCACTTTTGACTTCTCGGTCCTTACAGACCTAAACAATTCTGTCACCGCAATGGAACATGGTCAGAGATCCTTAGGGCCAGGCTGTCTTTCTCTTGCGCTCCGCCCCTTCCCTCCCTCCTGAAAACCTGCTGTACTTTCTAAGTCTCGAGACTCCTCTCTCTCTTTGCCCTCTGCAGACCCCTCTACTGCATTCTTTAATCCTCTAAATTCTCAGTCTTCACCTCCTCCAGCTCCCCAATCCAGCCTCTCTCCCCCTTTCTTTTCACCTCCCAGCTGCCACACCCTCTCCCTGCTAATCCTCTTCTCCCTCCCTGCAGGTAAGTGGGTGGGACTGAAGGAGGAGTTAGAGTCCATGTTCCTTTCTCTGTCTGATCTCTCCCAACTTGAAAAGCATCTTGGCTCTTTCACAAACTATCCCACTACCTACACCTAAATTTCATTATCTTACCCAAGCCTATGACCATACATGTCATAATTACATGTTATCTTCTCTTCCATCCTGACCTCTGACCTGTCCCCTAGCTGGTCTCCAAACGGCAGCGCCAAAACCTATAAACTTTCATAAGCTCACAAAAATTACCCTGTCTTCCTCAAAAAACCCCTCCTGACTTCCAAAGGCTGAGGATGGTCCTCAAACCCCTATCCAGGATCTGCTGAAAATGGCCTTTAAATTATTTAACAACCGGGAGGAACAGGACAGGGCAGAGGGAACTCCGCAGTCGCCAGAAGGCTGAGCTTCAAGCTCAGGCCCTAGTAGCTGCCTTGAGACCACCAGGCCCTGCTCCTCCAACGACCGCAGTGCCTGCTGCCCGACAGAGGACGACAATGGGCCCCATGGGCCCCAACCAACCGACGGCCGCCAAAGCCTGCTTCAAATGTGGCCAAAAAGGCACTGGTCCAGACAATGCCCCACCCCCGCCCTCCGCCAGGACCGTGCCTCATCTGCAACGTCCAGGGTCACTGGAAAAGTGACTGTCCCTCCACGCCTGGCTGTGGTGGGCCAGTCCTTCCAGTCCCTGCAACTCTTGCCACCGGCGGTCTTGGGTTTGGCGGCTGAAGACTGAAGAGGCCCAGACTCATCAACTCCGATAACCTTTGAGGAGCCCAGGGTAACGGTCAAGGTAGCAGGTAAGTACATCTCCTTTCTGGTTGACACGGGGTCTACCTTCTCTGTCCTCCCCTCCTATTCCGGTCAAGTTTATCCTTCTCAGGCCTCGGTTACGGGAGTTGA